TTCCTCAGCACCACATAAGCAAAAAGGAAAAAGCCAGAAGTGGCGCTGTGGCTCAAGTGGTAGAGTGCTAGCCTTGAGCTGAAGAGCTGAGGGACAGCTCTCAGGCCCAGAGTTCAGGCCCCACGACTGGACCCAAAAAAGAAAACAAAAATAACAAAGGAAGAGAAGAAGTAGGGGAGAATAAATGAAAGGAGATTGACCATTTACTTTTTTTTTGGTCAGTCGTGGGGCTTGAACTCTGGGCCTGAGGCTTCAGCTCAAGGCTAACACTCTACCACTTGAGCTACAGTGCCACTTCTGGTTTTCTGTTAGTTAACTGGAGATAAGAGTCTTATGAACTTTCCTGCCTGGGCTGGCTTTGAACTGTGATCCTCAATCCTCAGATCTCCTGAGTAGCTAGGATTACACGTGTAAGAACCACCTAAGCCCTCCCATTTACTTTCCCGTGTACTTGAAATAGCCTCTAATACATCAGTGAAAGAGAATAACAACCTAAGTCACACCTCTATACTTTATCTTCTATTTACTTAAGAGATAAATGGATCACCAGAAGCAATCTTCCTTAAGTACGACCCTGTTACTTACAGCAAGGTCTACAAGATGGAGCTTGCCCATCCTGACGTGCATGTTCCCATCGGCACCCTTCTCACTGCATTCGATGGTAATTGTAAAGATGGCATGGGAGCGAGAACTGTGTTCATTCATATTAGTTGCACCAACCGAACCTTTAATAACGAAAGGAATCCCTTAAAATTACAACAGAGAACCTTGCATATCCATTAAATATTCACAATACTTAAAATACTTATACTTAAAATACTTAACTTTTTTCACAGTCAATGCCAGAGATCATGGTTAAACCATAAAACCACAGGTAGATTGAGCCATATGAAATCCCTCCCTTAATTTGTGCTGATAATAAAAGAATTAGTAATGGTCCTCAGATACATTATTTTATACAAAGTACTTAATTTCAATCTCAAGTATTAGTGTCTAATAACAAATAAGTTACAAGGCTGGGTATAGTGATAAACACCTGCAGTCCTAGCTACCAGGGAGGCTCTGGGGAAGAGGATGGCTAAGGTCAGAAGGTCAAGGCTAGCTGAGGGCAACATGGTAGAACCATCTCTCTTTAAAACTATACACAAAAACAGAAGCATACAAGCTAGGCACCAGAGGCTCTCACCTGTAATCCTAGCTACTAAAGAGGCTGAAATCTGAGGATCACAGTTCAAAGTTAGTCCATGCAGGAAAGTCCTGAGTCTCTTATTTCCAAATAAGACACATTATTTGTATGTGTATGTGTATGTATACGTATATGTGTGTACACACACACACACACACACACACACACACACGAAAAGTTATGTGGGGACAGAAAGAGAGAGAGTCGATACTGGGGCTTGAATTCGGAGCCCAGGCATTGTTCCTCAGCATACTTACTCAAGCTGGCACTCTACTACTGGAGCCACAGCGCTACTTCTGGCTTTTTCCTAGTTAATTTGAGATTGTGCCTGGCAACAAGTTACTTTAAGTGTTTCCTCATTCAAAAAGTAGGACTAAGCCAGGCACCAGTGCTCAAGTCTGTTTTCCTGACTACCCAGGAGGCTGAGATACAAGGATCACAGTTCAAGCCAGCCCCAGCAGGAAATTCTGTGAGACTCTTATCTTCAATTAACTACTAAAAAGCCACAAGTGGAATTTGTGGCTTAAGTGGTAGAGTGCTAGCCTTAAGCAAAAGCTCAGGGAAAGTGCACAGGCCCTGAGTTCAAACCCCAAGGCCAACACACGCCAACACACACACACACACACACACGCGCACACACACACACACACACACACACGACTTAAATATCTTCACAAATTATGGTGAAGCTTAAAGGAGAGTCTTATAAAGCACTTAGCATAAACATTTTACCACTTACCAAGTACTTTCTATTTTATCTATATTATATAGTTATAACTAACAAGAGATGGCAAATATGAATTTTAAAGAATGCCATTATTAAGAAGAAACAGCATTTTGTTTGGTGTGGAAACAATCTTTCATTTATATATGCTCCCTTCATAGTAAATAAAGAGATAGCATTTAAAACACCGACCATTCAGTGTCTATGGTGCAAAGTGCCATAGTTGCTTTGCAATCAGCCTACTGAACATAGAGATGTTTAATCATAAGTAGGCATTATACTTACGGTTTTTGTGGCCTAATGTCATAATTCTATCCATATCATCAGCATTATTTACCACATAAGCTGATAAATCTTTGATATAAACTCCCACATCAGGCCTTTCTTTAACCTAAAAAAAATACACAAGTAAGAGTTTACATTTGTATTGTAATTCTTCCATAGTTAGTTACTGAGCATCTACTGTTTCTGTAAGATTGTGACAATATGGTCAGGAACACATAGATAACATACCTATACTCATGGAAGTAATGATTTACAGGGAAAACATACCAATGACGAATTAGGGCCTTGGCACTGTCCCTGAGCTTTTTCGTTCAAGGTTAGCACTTTACCACTTGAGCCACAGCTCTTCTGGCTTTTTTGTTGCTTAATTGGAGATGATACTCTCACAGACTTACTTTCCTTCCAGGCTGACATTAAACCATGATCCTCAAATCTCAGCCTCCTGAGTAGCTAGGATGACAGGCGTGAGCCATTGGCTGGTGCCTGGGCTAGCATATCAATGTTTTAATGATGTATGTAAAAATATTACAAGTGCATTATTTTACTATTGAATGCATATAAACTCAAAAAAAATGCTAACAGGCATTGACTTTAATAGTCTTTTAAATTTGTTAATGTTGACAATAAGCCAAGGAAATACATATCATTACCACTTCCAGTGCAATTCCAATATTGTTTTTTTGTTTTGTTGATGGTGGTACTTGAACTCTGGGCTTGGGCACTCTTCAGCTCAAGGCTAGCACACTATCACTTGAGCCACAGTCCCATTTCCGGTTTTCTGGTGGTTATCTGGAGATAAGAGTCTCGTGCATTTTCCTGCCCAAGTCAGATCTCAGCCTCCTGAGTAGCTAGGATTATAGGCGTGAGCCACCAGTGCCCGGCTCCAATACTGTTTTAAAGGTCATCTTTGTCTTATATCTTAAAATTTTAAAAATTTGGGAACATCTACCAAATTTACCACTCATTTATCAACTGACTCAGCAGTATGCCTTCAGTGGTTTACTCCCAGATATGCCTGTGCTTGCAAGATGATACGTGTATAAGGCTATTTAAAATATTAAAAGTACTTTCTGTACAAAGAGGACATAATTGCTTTGGAAAGTACTCCAATTTCAATTTCCTTACCTCTAATCTCTGTGTCTGATCCTTGCCCAAAAGGTCACGAACTTCTTCATTATAGATTTCCAAATATGACACTCGAACCAAGAATCTATATATAAAATATTTTAGCACATAAGAGTAAAATATTTATAAGAACAGCTTGCTTATACTTGCATTGCTTTCCTATATTTATATTTCTTAATATTAGGAAATAAAAATATTCTTTTACCTGGTATCTCCTTCTGCTTTGGCAATATGACCAAATATGTGAGCAAATGAATTGGGAATAATTCCTCTAAGTTCAGGAACAGCTCGAACGCCTTCCATAGTAAAAGTTTTGCCTGTCCCAGTTTGTCCATATGCAAAAATAGTCCCTGAAAATGAGGGAAAGACTCAGTCACTGTTAGATTCAAATGGTATAGAACAATAGCTGTCAAAATTAATTCCTTTCGCTGGGTGCTGGTGGCTCATGCCTATAATCCTAGTGACTCAGGAGGCTGAGATCTGAGGATTGTGATTCAAAGCCACCCAGGCAGAAAAGTTCCAGAGAGACTCTTATCCCACTCAAAAGCCAAAAGTGGCACTGCTGTGGCTCAAATGATAGAGCGTTAACCTTGAGCACAAAGATGCTCAGGGACAGCACCCAGGCCCTGAATTCAAGCCCTAGGACCAAAACAACAACAACAACAAAAAAAACCTTTGAACACTGTGATGTATTTTTTCTCCTGAATTCAAACTTTGTTCTGTTACAAATCTCACTTTTAAATTTTTATTAAGTAGTTATATAATGTACAAATCTCATTTTTACTATCAACATGTACAATATATACTCTGTGCTACATAAATATCACTGTTAAAAAAAAAAAGCAGAGTCACAGACACTAGTAAGTCATGCATATAATCCTAGCTACTCAGGAGACTGAGACCTAGAGGACTACAGTTTGAAGCCAGCCAGGCAGAACAGTCTGTGAAACTCCATCTCCACTTAACCAGCAAAACACCAGGTGGTAAAATGCTGACCTAACGTATGTAGGTAATGGGTAGTGGGGAAGAGACACAGAGGAAGACATATATACATACATATGCATAGTCACACACACACACATAACCTTTCTCTATATACATTCTCTATGTACAGAAAGAGAAGAGAGAGACACAGAGACACAGAGAGAGAAAGAGCAAGCCCAAAAAAGACCCCTTAATTCTGTTAACTCAAAATTGAACCATTAACACTTCTACTTGAAGCAAGGTGGGAGTATCGTGACTCAGTTAACCTTCCCAGCTGAAACCAGAAGAGGTGAACATACATGAAGCAAGCTGGGGCCAGTGATTCACACTGGTAATCCTAGCTACTTAGGAGGCTAAAATCCAGAGAACTTTGATTTGAGGTGGACAGAAATGTTCACTAGATTTACCCAAAACAACCAGCAAAAAGCAGAGCTGGAGGCATGACTCAAGTGACAGAATGCCAGCTTAGCAAGCATGAGGTCCTGAGTTCAAATCCCAGTACCGAAGAAAAAAAATCACTGTTAATGATAAGCCTTTACTATAAACACTTTTGTTTAACATTGGTTGATTGGTTGGTTGCTGGTTCTGGGGCAAGAACTCAGTGCCCCATGCTCACTGTTTGCTCAGGGCTAGCTCTCTACCACTTGGCCACATATCTAGCCCAGCCTCCAGGACTTTTCTGCCGGGGTGGCTTCAAAACCAGTCCTTGAATCTCAGCCTCCCAAGTAGCTAGGATTCTGGTGTATGCCACCAGAATCTGGCCTATTTTTCCTTTAAATAAGCTAAAATGTTGGTCACCTGGATGATTTGACTCAATCTACAGCTGCTATACTTTTTTGTTGGTGGTGGTGGTGGTTGTGGGGCTTGAACTCTGGGCCTGGGTACTGTCCCTGCGTGCTTCAGCTCAAGGCAAGAGCTCTACCACTTGAGCCACAGCTCCACGTCTGTTTTTCTTGTGTAATTGGAGAGTCTCACGGACTTTCCTGCCGGACTGGCTTTGAACCATGATCCTCAGATCTCAGCCTCCTGAGTAGCTAGGATTTTAGGTGTGAGCCACTAGCACCCAGCTATACTCTTTGTTAATGGCCTGACTGAGTCAAGTAAACAGCTGGACTGACCTATTGTTAGCACAAGCTGCTTTGAACACTATACAGATACCCTGAAGAAACTACACGGTAACCACCACTGCCAATGCACACCTCTGGCTCCTGCGGTAGCAGCCATGACTGTTTCAAACAGCTCATGCTGAACTTTTTGCCACCACAAGTCTTTGTGACTTCTAGAAGACCCTGCAGCCATTTCCAAACCAGAGAAGTAATTCAATGGTTGCACAGCTGAAGGACACGTGACTGGTACAAACACAGTCCTTCATTTGTAGGGAAGGACTTACAGGATTGGTGCTATGGTCCCTTGTCTACAAGAGGGATGGTGCTATGAGCAAACTCAGTCTTTCGCTGCCTTGATTGGTACAAGACCTTCTAGCCACACCCATGTTTTACTATATAGGTAGGAAGTTAGCCCACAAACACTCTCCTGTGCCGTCCCCCTGGTGGTATAACACAAGTCCCAACAAAAGGCTTCTCTCTCTCTCTTATTTTTAATCTTTATCACTAGTTAAGTAGATTGAGCTAGTGGCAGAAGAGGCAGCAGTTCTATTACAACAGAGAAGGCAGCAGCACTGGCAGCAGCAACCATGGCAGTAGCAAGGAGAGACAGCTCAAGAGTTCCAGAAAGCAGACAAGGAAGGAATGATGGAGAGTAGAGATAACAGAGACAATAAAGGCTGTGAAAAGCTGACGATGAGACACTGGGCTCTGGTCACCAGAAGAGTTCCAGAGAGTTGCCAAGTGTTAGGGGCCGAGGTTGCAGATGGCCTAGGCCTGAAAGATTAAACGCTAACTTCTGTCAGGGGCTGAGGATCCCAACACCCTAGGCCTGAGTGCCGTAACAGTAGGGTTATGAGAGCAGAGTTGGGAGTTCCAGCCCTTAAGGCCTTCATAAGAGCTGTAACACTCTTGCTGCCTGCGGCTGTCCGCTGCTAGTAGAAAACAAGGATTCCAATAGCTGCTAAATGCCAGGCTCTCTGGTGGTTGAGCCAAGCGGGGTAAGTCTCCAACCTGAGTATCCAAATCTATAAGTTTATGTCATCTGAAGCCAGGAGTAACAGGCTTCCAGCTCTTAGGGTTTAAAGCTGTAGCCTCTGGGTCTATCAGTCTAGCCTCAGGCCTTGGGCACTCAAAAACCAGCAATGCCAGCATAGGAAAAGCTTCTCATTTACCCACAACTCCTATCTGAGCAGAGCAAAAGAATCCCATCCAGCTGGTGGCAATATTTTCATACTCAAAATGAAAAGAATTAAGCATGCCACAGATTCTGTGTGACCAATGGGAAAAGAACCTTCAAAGCCTGCATCAGGTTTTCTTGAAATGTTGCTTCATACACCTTTCCCCTTTACAGATTGTTTTTCCTTTTTTTATTTTGGCCAGTCCTGGGGCTTGAACTCAGGGCCTGAGCACTGTCCCTGAGCTTCTTCTGCTTAAGGCTAGCATTCTACCACTTGTACCACAGCACCACTTCCAGCATTTTCTGCTTATATGGTACTGAGTAATCAAACCCAGGGCTTCATGCATGCTAGGCAAGTATTCTACCACTAAGCCACAATCCCAGCCTATTTTTCCTTAAGTACTAGAATATAATAAGTCTTATGAATCCTCCAAGTCATCACTGAATCTGGGATAGTCATCAGGATAGACCTCTAATGCAGCTACCTATTAGAAATATGCTTTCAGAATAATGTCATCTGCAATGAAATGGATAGACCTAGAATAAATCATGTTAAATGAGGTAAGGCAAGCTCAGAGAGGTAAATGGCACATGTTTTCTCTCATATGCGGAAGCTAGATCTAAAATACATGATAAATTATACAGGTCTCACACAGTGAGACCAAAGGAGGGACACGAAGGCACAATGCCTACCTGCCTCTGATCATATAATATTTATCAAAATGAACTCCAGGAAATGGAAACAGGTTTTTTTCCCTTTTCTGTTTGTTTATCCATCTTTGGGGGGGCAAAGGAAGACATAGAAATGGTGGGACAAAGGGTAAACAAATGCAGCAGTGGTACTCAACACAAATAAACTATAGAACTTGTGAGTAGGGTGCTGGGAAGGTGGCTCAGTGGTAGAGCGCTTGTCTTGCATGCATGAGGCCCTGGGTTTGATTCCTCAGCACCACATAAGCAGAAAAAGTCAGAAGTGATGCTGTGGTTCAAGTGGTAGCGCTAGCCTTGAACTGAGGGATAGCACACAGGCCCCAGAGTTCAAGCCCCATGACCAACAAAATCAAAATAAAAAACAATACAGAACTTGTGAGTAGGGATGAAAGGGAAAAACTGGGAGAGAGCGAAGGAAGGGGTGATGTACTCCAAAAAAGAAATGTACTCACTCACTACCTGGCTTATGAGACGGTAACCCCTCTGTACATCACCTTTATAATAACAATAAAATAAATTGATTTACACAAAGAAATGTGCTTTCAATAAAAAAATAATTAGGTTAGAAGGATGGAAAAAGACATGCCATATTTCTGTCAAACAATAGAGAGCTAGAATATCTGTGTTAATACCAGACAGAGCAAAGTCCACAGCAAAGAATGTCATCAAGGATAAACTTCATAATTAAAAAGAGGTTAATTCATCAAGATGATATAAAAATCTAAGCATTTACACACAGGCTCAAGGAGATTCAAAATACATGCAAAAAATTCTGATAGAACTGTAAGGTATGTGCAAATAAGAAAACAGAGAATTAAGCACTTCTCTCAATTGATAAACCAAGTTGACTGAAAATAAGTAAGTACATGGAAGAAGCTGAACAACACTATCAAACAATTTGATCTAATAATAGACATTTATAGAATACTCCATCCAACAACAGAATATACACCCCCAATTATAGGTTATATCCTAGAATGTGAAACACGTCTCAAAATTTTTTTCTCTGACTGAAATAGAATTAAAATCATTAACAATCTCTGGAAAACCTCAAAATATCTGGAAATTAATACATTTTTAATTAATCAAGCGATCATAGACAAAATAATGAAGTCAAGGCAGAAAATATTTAAAACTGTTTGAACATGAAAACATGTCAACCCTATTAAGATGCCCCTAAAACAGTACCTGGAGGATAATTCATGCCAAATAAATTCCTGCATCAGAAAAGAGCTCTGAAAACAACAAACACAGCATCCACTTCGAGAAAGTACAAGAACATCAAATGGAACCCAAAGTAGAAAAACAATAAACATCAACACAGAAAATAACGAAATAGAAAACACAGGAAAGATAAAAATTAATTAAAAAAACTTTCTCTCAGTAGATAGTTTATCTATCAGTAGATAGATAAACTTCTAGTTAATCTAAATAGGATAAAAAAGGGAAGACACAAACCACTCTTTTCAAGAATGAGAAAGGCCATATTATTGCACTGTAACATACTAAATATGTTAAATAACTTCTTGCCAATGAAGTATCAACTTCAACGATATATACAAATCCCATGACAGAAAATTATCAAAACTCACTCAAGAAAACATAAACTGAGTATCCACAAATCTATCCAATAGATTGAATCTGGTACAATTTACAAACCTTCTCACCCAGACAGGTGGCTATATAGATGAAGTCTATCAACTATTTAAAGGAGAAATACTAATTCTAGGCAAATTCTTCTAGAAATCTGAAAAGGAAATAATCCTCAACTCATTTTCTACAACAACATTAGTCTCATACCAAAATCAGATAAAACTTTACAAGAAAACTACATTCATATATCTCTCATGAATACAGATGCAAAATTCTGCCAAAGCAAATTAACCATTTTTTTGCTTTTTCTTTTTTATCTTGTGACAGTCCTAGGGCTTTAACTCAGGGCGTAGGTGATGTCCCTGAGCTTTTTTGCTCCAGGCTAGTGCTCTACCACTTGAACCACAGCTCTACTTCTGTTTTTTTGCTAGTGAATTAGGGATAAAAGTCTCAAGGACTTTCCTGTCAGGGCTGGCTTTGAACTGCAACCCTCAGATCTCAGGATTACAGGTGTGAGCCACCAGCACTTGGTTCAACTTCATATATTTTCTACAACTCATCAAACTTTACAGTTACAACAAATGAATTTGTAGAGCATTAACAGTATATCTCAATAATTTTTTTAAAATAAGTTGCATGCTCACTTACCATTGTAACCTTCAAGAACAGAATCAATAATGGGTCTTGCAGTTAAGTTGTAAACGTCCAATTGTTTACTGTCTGGTCCGAAAACAGTATCAAAAGTAAATGTCTTTGGAGGCTCATTGGAAGAATCAGTCTTATGAACAGTAATTGTTCCCCTCATCTCGTCCACGCTGACGGCCTGTCTGTAGTACATTGCCTTCTCTCGTTCATTGAGGGGCCGGCACCTAACAACCACCTTCACATTATCACAGCTCTCGGGCTTCTCCGATTTATTGATCTGGCGGAGACAATATTAACAAATAATGAAAAGACCATTTAATTTTTCCCTTGCCATGTTAAATTTCTAATTTGAAAAAGATTATTTTGCTGTTTCAGTGCTTTACTAAAAGATACAAATAAGAAAATAGTTTCTTTTGCAATACAAAAGAGGGGAGAGGGAGGGATCTAATTTGCATCTGTAGCAAATGCTATCCAAGGAGAAAATAGCTAGTATTTTATTGATTGTCTTTCTGCAGGAAAGTCCTGACATCCTCTTAGAACTTCTCCCTGTAGGCACACATATGCAAACGTGTTTAACAAGTTTAAATCAGACTATATAATAAGTCCTTCTTTCTTTTTTCTACATGTCAGTAAAAATTGTAATCATACACCCATATATATGGCTTATCTTCACAGAAGACAACAGTAAGTTAAGGACAGAAAAATCCAATGGTAGAGAAAAATGTCTTAGTATTGACCTGATCTCATGAACATGTGTGTATCTATAAATAGGACTTTTGAAATTTTACATAATTAAGAATCTGTGTTCAGGACTGGGAATGTGGTTCAGTGGTAGCGTGCTTGTCTAGCATGAATAAAGCTCTGGGTTCAATTCCTCAGTTCCACATAAACAGAAAAAGCTGGAAGTGGCACGGTGGCTCAAGTGGTAGAGCACTAGCCTTGAGCAAAAGAAGCTCAGGGACAGTGCCCAGGCCCTGAGTTCAAGCCCCAGGACTGGAGGGGGAAAAAAAAAATCTGTGTTCAAACACAATCCTATCACTGAAATTAGGTATTCAATTCTGACTGCTTCAGGTACTCTTCTATGCATTAAAAAGAAATAAATATAAGCCATTACCAGTGACTTTGACATTGTCATTGACAAGTAACAGATAATAGTATCAATACATTTCTCTCCGTCACTGCCTTTATCCACTGCCCTTTGATGACACCCCCCACCTCCACCCCCCCACCCCCCCCCCGCCCCCGCCTTGTCTGGGCCTTAGATTATGGCCTCCTAACTCTATTCTTACATTTAATTAACTTGCCTGTTGTGCCAATCAGTGTCCACATAACGTTAGTCCTGTCACAGACAATTACTCAATGGCGTCTAAAGAATCTTACAATAAGAATAAGAAATGTAAAGGTAAAATGAAAAATGGCTCCCATCCATGTCTGCTTCTCTAGTCTTATTTCACAAAATCCCTCAAACTCAAACACCCTGAACTCATGGTATTTTCTATTCATCATGCTCCTCCACCTCCACCACTGGCCTTTTTTTCTTTGGTCCTTCCTTTCTGCCTTTTCTTTCTTTTTTGTGCCAGTACTAGAACTAGTACTCATTGCCTGGACACTGTCCCTTAGCTTTTTCTGCTCAAAACTGTTACTCTATCACTTCAACTAAATCTCCACTTCTGGCTTTTTTGAGTGTTAACTGGAGATAAGAGTCTCCTGGACTTTTCTACCCAGGCTTGCTTCAAATCATGATCTTCAGATCTCAGCCTCCAGAGTACCTAGAACTATAGACATGAACATCAGTAATACCCAGCCACTCCTACCCTCCCCCCCTCCGCCGCCTTTTTTAAAAAAATCTGTCATGGGGCTTGAACTCTGGACCTGAGCGCTGTCCCTCAGTTCTCCAGCTCAAGGCTAGCACTCTACCACTTGAACCACTGTACCACTTCCAGTTTTCTGGTGGTTTATTGGAGATAAGTGTTTCACAGACTTGGGGCTGAGAAGGCGGCTCAGTGGTAGAGGGCTTGCCTTGCATGCATGAGGCCCTGGGTTCAATTCCTCAGCACCACATAAGCAGGAAAAGCCGGAAATGGCGTTGTAGCTCAAGTGGTAGAGCGCTAGTGTTGAGCTGAAGAGCTGAGGGAGAGTGCCCAGGCCCAGATTCAGGCCCCACAACCAACCAAAAAAAAAAGTTTCACGGACTTTCCTGCCCAGGCTGGCTTTGAACAGCGATCCTCAGATCTCAGCCTCCTGAGTAGCTAGGATTATAGGCATGAGTCACCGGTGCCAGGCTTACTACTAGGCTTTTTTTAGGTTGCTTAAACCTAGAACATTCCTCAGTACTCTCTACATTTAGATAGCATCTATTTAGCCTTCAGATCTCAGCACAATAGCCACTTCTTTTGGGAAAACTTCACTGACTAGTCAACTGCTTTTTTTTTTTAAAAAAAATAGGCTTAAATGGTGTCCTGCTCTCCTCATCCAAGGACACACATTTACTTTAGTTTGTTCCTCATTTTATTAATGTCTTTCTATCTTCACCATACAGGCAAACAAGTAGTGAAGGGACTGAATTTAGCTCACAAGTATTTTAATTAGTTGCTAAAATTGAGCGATTCCACAGAAATAATAAAAGTCTTCTGGGATAAAAAGTAGATGATGTACATCTGTGTAGGCCAGCATTCCCACATGGCAATACTCTGCAATTCATCACACTTTAATCCTATTGCATGCTAGCCATTTACTTCATTCATTAAGACTAAATATCTTGCGAGGGTACCAGTGGCTCACACGTATAATACTAGCTACTCAGGAGCCCCAGCCTTCAGCAAAAGAGCTCAAGGATGGCACTCAGGCCCCAGAGTTCAAGCTTCATGACCAGCAAGAAAGAATAAAAAAGACTGTGTCCTATGTCTGTAAATGTGTATGATGCTTCCTCTGCCCAAGAATACAGGCTTAACTTGAGCTGAAGAGCTGAGGGACAGCGCCCAGGCCTGAGTTCAGGCCCCAAGACCGGACCCAAAAAAAAAAAGAACACAAGCTTAAACCAGGTGCTGGTGGCTTACAACTTGAATCCAACTACTCAAGAGGCTGAGATCAGAGAACCCTGGTTTGAAGCCAGTCTGAGCAGATATCTCAAGAGACCCTTAACTCTAACCAGCAAATAACCAGATGTGGAAAGGTAGCTCAAGTGGTTGAGTGCCAGCCTTGACCAAGGACACAAACTGACTTTGATACATTTGGTAAATTCTCAAGTGAGAATGTGAGGCCTTCAGTTCAAGGCCCAGTACTATCATAAAAAAAAAAAAAAATAGGGGCTGGGAAGGTGGCTCAGTGGAAGAGCGCTTGCCTTGCATGCATGAGGTCCACATAAGCAGAAAAAGCTTATGCTCAAGTGGTAGACACTAGCCTTGAGCTGAGGGACAGCGCCCAGGCCCAGAGTTCAGGCCCCACAACCTCAAAAATTAAAAAAAAAAAATAGCTGAGTGCCAGTGGCTCTTCCCTATAATCCTGGATGGTCAGGAGGCTAGGGGATTGCAGTTCAAAGCCAACCCAAGAAAGAACGTCCATGAAATTCTTATCTCCATTCCACTATCCAAAAAGCCTGAAGTGGGGGCTGGGAAGGTGGCTCAGTGGTAGAGTGCTTGCCTTGCATGCATGAGGCCCTGGGTTCAATTCCTCAGCACCACATAAGAAAAAAAAGAAAAAAGCTGGAAGTGGTGCTGTGGCTCAATTGGTAGAGCGCTAGCCTTGAGCTGAAGGGCTGAGGGACAGGGCCTAGGCCCAGAGTTCAAGCCCCATGACCAGACCCCCCCCCCACAAAAAAAAGCCTGAAGTGGACCTGTGGCCCAAGTGGTAGAGCACTAGTCTTGAGGGGGGGGGGAACCCTCAAGGACAGTACCAAGGTCCTGAGTTCAAGCCTTGGGATGCCAGGATGCTAACCATGACCCCCCCCCAAAAAAAAGACAAGCTTCTCTCTTTCCAAAGTCAACAATATCAACCACATTTGAATCAATAACTTGGTAACTGAAGGAAAAAAGAACAAACCAACAGAAACTAGGAACCGATTTTAACATTTTTCCTCTAACAGTAACACTGAATACTAAAACGTCCAGCGCTGTCCTTCAAGTCTCCAGTACCTGATCTTATTTCATCTTGATACGATTCCCAAGAGGAGACGTTTAATTACGTGGGCTCACTAAGGGGCCCAGGCAGCTTAAATAACTGAGGCCTCGGTGACCAATACCTAACCCTCTATGGCCCAAGTTCTCTCCATGACCCTTCATCATCATCATCATCATCATCATTTCGATTATTATTATTATTTATATTTACAACACCCCCCCCAGGAAGGCACGACAACCATCCGTGAAATCCTGGCGGGTGGACACACACAGACAGACACAAAGACACCCACGGGCGGCATTCTGCACCATAAGCCACAGCGCCACGACCGGAATGACAGCTTGAGCCCAGGAGAAACCCCACCCCCCCCCGAGTCCAGGAGCCTGGAACACGGGCTCCGCGGAGCGTGCAGAGGCCACGCGGGGCGCCCGGCATCCCAACGACCCTCGGCGGGCCTTCCCCGCCCAGCGGCCGGCGGGGCCGGGCACCGGATCGCGGCCCCCGCGGTCCGAGCAGCGCAGGCCCCACGGGACGCAGCGGGGACCAGGCGACCCGGCCTCCTCCACGGCGCCTCCCGAAGCGAGCCGGATCCCCTCACCACCACGCCCCGACGGACCCCGCGCGGGGGGTGGGGGGCCCAACCCCGGCCGGTTCCCTAAAACCGCCCAGGCTCAGGGGTGCCCGGCCCGGCCCCGCCCCACCGCGCCGCCCGCCCGCCCGCGCTTCTATGGAAACGGCCGCGCCCCCGAGCCAGGCCGCTGGGATGAAGAACCCCAGCGTCTGGAGCCGCGCTCTCCTCACCGGCATCTTGGCTCCTTTCCCGTACCCCCGGCGGACGCCTCCGCTCGGGGTGGGGTGGGGGGGGGTGCAACCCAACGACACCCGGGGTCGCGGGAGAAGCTGGCGATAGACGACTGGAGCACCTTGGCGCCCTCGAGACTGCGGCTCCCCGGGCGAGAACGCGCAGTGCGCAAGCGCACTCCGAGCTCGCCCCGCCCAATCCCTGGTCTCCCAGTTTCCACCCAGTCTCTAAGCACTACGCCTGCGCAGAAGCTTTCCGAGTCCATCTCCGAGGACGCCTGACTGAGGCCGCGCCTGCGCAAAGCGTTCCCCGGCCATCTCCTAGGACGCTGGACTTGGAGGCCGCGCCTGCGCGGTGCTGCCATTCCGCTTGGTAGCTCATGTCTATAATCCTAGAGCCTGAGATCTGAGGGTGGAGATTCGAAGGCAGCCCGGGCAAGAAAATCCGTGAACCTCTCATCTCCACTTAACCACCAAAAAAAAAAAAAAAAAAGAGGGAGGAGGAGGAGGCGGGAAATGGGGCTGTGGTTCAAGTAGTGGAGCGCTAGCCTAGAGCAAAACACGCTAATGGACAGCACCCAAGCCCCGAGTTCAAGCCCCGGGACCAGCATCAACAAAACAAACCTTTTAAATTAAAAAAAAAAAAAGTCATTTTGCCTTCCTGAATTCCTGTTTCATAGTCTTCCTCCTTGAAGTAGATCTGAGAAATAAGTAGATCTGAGTCGACCTACTTCATGGTCTTCTCGTTCATCGCCTTTCTTAAACTAGAATACACATTTCATATGTTCTCTGGTCTTCGTATTTTTCTTCTCGGCACCCTTATCGACAGTCGGACTTCCAGACGGAACGACTAATGAGATTAAATACACTCAGTGAACTCCCATGTGAAGGAGGGATCGATGAGGTCTTTTAGAGGTCGAATGAAGCACCAGTCACCATGCAGGCTGCCTCCCCCACCCCCCCAAGGCTGCTAACCAGATCTCCAGCCACCCCCCCTCGGAGCTGGAGACCTGACATGGGGTACAGGCTGGGGGTGAGGGTGGGGTAGAAGTTGGCCCAGACCTCCCCAGGACTGGAGGTGGGGGGGGGGGGCATCGGGCCCTCCAGGTGTCTGCCCCAGGTGTATTGCATCAATGCACCTGGGGTTATAAAGAATGGCTGAAGCTACAGCTCACACCCCGTATCTCCAGCACGCCATGGCTTCAGGCGCACCCCAGGCCTTGGCCTCAGAGGAGGAGGAGGAGGAGGAGATCGCAGCCGTCGAGGGTTCTGGGGAACAGGAGGCCCTTGGTTGTCTCCCCTGCACACCGTGTGTGCGGACCACCGCTTCTCCCTGGCGGCCATGGAGCAAGTTTCGGGGCTCCAGACAGCCTGGATCGGGGAGGGACCCCCTGGTGCTCCTGCGGTTGCCAGCCCCGGCTTCCAGACCGTCCAGCCCAATCCCCACCGTTGCAACCCGGCCTTTGCAGCCCCAAGTGCGGCCTAAACCGTGGCACTGCCAAAGGCGAGACATCCTGGACCAGAATCAGCTGCTCCGCTACCTGCAGCTGACCCAAAGCAGAGAGGAGCGCCTGTGGCGGAGTTGCTGCCCCCAGGTACTGATCCTCCCCCCCCCTCCCCGCCAGACACACCTCGGGGGTCCCCCATCCCTGAGATGACCCTCTGCACACACACACACACACACACACACACACACACACACAGGTACTCCGCCCTCAGCAGACCCTGCTGCTTCCCCAGCTGTGGCCCCTGTGGCAGGGGGTGGGACCTTTGGCTTCCCACACCTGCCAGGACTGTGGCTGGCAGTATTCGCTGGGGAAAGAACCCTGCTTCATTTGAGGGAACTCAGGACGAAAGTGGACCCCTGAAGTCCAGGGCCAGTGGCTCAGGCCTGTAATCCTAGCTACTCAGGAGGCTGAGATCTGAGGATCACAGTTCAAAGCCAGACCATGGAAGGAAAATCTGTGAGGCTCTTACTTCCAATTAACCACTCGAAAGCCAGAAGTGGAGCTGTGGCTCAAATGGTAGAGCACCAGTGTTAGATTATTTGGACTTTGCCAGAAAGCCACACAGACATCCAGGTACTGAGAACAAAGAAAGGTTTATTGCTGGGGGAGGGGTGGGCAAGACCCCTTCTCACCAGGGAGAAGTGAGAAGAAGCATCGGCTGTTGTCTGGGGTGACCTATATAACCTAGGTGGTTTTGGAGGGGCTAGAAGGGGCTAGGAGGCAGAGACCCTGGTGTGGGCCAGGGGCTTCATCATGGCATACTAAGGTTTATGGCTGCTGTCCAAATAGTAGATAAGGGGTCCTGCAACTGCCCAGACCTGAAGGTCACTCTAAGGGGCTCTTGTTGCCTTACATGGTGGTAGCTGCCCCAGAGAAGTGTCATCCCAAGGTAAAGGGGGGTTTGGAGGCTGATTATTTACTGCCTTTGCTACATGGACCTAGTGTTGCCTAGGAAGGGAGCATGCTAAGCTGTGGAAAAGGAAGAAGTGGACTAAGCTATGGGAAGGGAGCTCATTGGGCTAACAAACAGGTCTTGGGTTAAAAAAAAAAAAAGTTGCTAAGGGACAGTGCCCAGGCTCTGAGTTCAAACTCAAGGGGAAGGGAAGAGGGAAGGGAAGAGGGAAGAGTGAAGGGGGAAGGGGGAAGGGAAGGGAGAAGGGAAGGGAAGGAAGAAGGGTTGGTGAGCAGCTAGGCCACCAGGACTTGAGGTAAAGGGACTTTGTCTTACACAGATGGTTCCTGCCATTGGTGGTCCAGGACTGGCCCACCACAAAGACTAAGACCTTTTCTTCCTTTTCCAATAGTCTGAGATCTGCCAAACCTTCCAGAACCTCGTGTTATGGCTCCTGAACATTGAGAACATCTTTAGCTTCAACCAAGCTACAATGAACCTGGCTCTCACCATCTTGGTTCACCTTCTGGCCTCTGTGAAGGTAGGCAGGCCTCTAGGGATGGTAACAGATGGTAAAAACAAGATGGCAGCTCCCTATTGCTGCCCAAGAGGGGAGTCTTTGTAGATATCCATATTGCCCATAAGTAGTGTCGCTGGTTCTCAAGGATTAGCATCGCCACATCTTTCCTCAGCATCTGTCTAGCTCCATGTCCTGTGGTCCTCAGGAATGATCAGACTTGGGAGAACAGAGGACCTAAATGGGTGAGGACTCCCAATGATGAGCTAGGACTTGATTGTCTGGACCTGACCAATGGGGTCTCAAGCCAGGCCAAGACTGTATTCTGTCAGTCCCTTTAGCAAAGGAATATTCATTATTTATTTATTTATCTACTTATTTTGTCGGTCGTGGGGGCTGAACTCTGGGCCTGGGCGCTGTCCCTCAGCATTTCAGCACAAGGCAAGCACTCTACCACTTGAGTCACAGCGCCACTTCTGGCTTTTTTCTGCTTATGTGGTACTGAGGAATCGAACCCAAGGCCTCATGCATGCGAGGCAAGCACTCTACCACTGAGCCAACTCCCCAGCAGCAAAGGCTGGGAATGTGGCTCTGTGGGAGAGTGCTTGCCTCGCATGCATGAAGCCCTGAGTTTGATTCCTCGGTATCACAATAAACAGAAAGGGCAGGAAGTGGCTCTGTGGCTCAAGTGGTAGAGCACTAGCCTCAAGCACATAGAAGCTCATGGACAGAGTCCAGGCTCTGAGTTCAAGCCCCAGGACTGGAGAACAGAACCCCATGGTTCTGAAATGGGGAGCCTTTTCATTGGCCATATAAAAGTAACACCAAGGCTGGGCACTGGTGGCTCATGCCTGTAATCCTAGTTACTCAGGAGGCTGAGATCTGACAATCATGGTTCAAAGTCAGCCCAGGCAGCAAAGTCCATGAGACCCTTATTTCCAATAAATCACCAGAAAACCAGAAGTGGCACTGTGGTACTGTGGTAGAGCACTAGCCTTGAGCTGAAGACTGCAGGGACAGCGCCCAGGCCCAGAGTTCAAGCCCCAGGACAGACCCCCCCCCAAAAAAAGTAACACTAATTTTCTGCTTCATGGAGAAAAAAAAAGTCTTTTTGGGGGGGGGGAGAGTCATGAAGATTGAACTTAGGGCCTGGGCACTTTTTTTTACTTAAAGTTAGCTCTCTACCACTTTGAGCCACAGCACCCCTTCTGGTTTTCTAGTGGTTAATTGGAGATAATAGCACAGCCTTTCCTTCCTCGCTGACTTCAAACTTCAATCCTCAGATCTCAGCCTCCTGATTAGCTAGGATTACAGGTGTGAGCCACCAGTGACTAGCCAAAATAATGTCTTCTTGTCTTTAAAACTAAAGGCAGAAAGCTTCTGTGTGTGTGTGTGTGTGTGTCCTGGGCTTGAACTCAGAGCCTGGGTGATGTCCTTGAGCTTTTTTTGCTCAAGGTGTTTGCTTGTTCTGTAATCAAACATTTCACAAGAGTTTGCTGCCCGGGTTGGATTTGGACTGCAATCCTCAGATCTCAGCCTCCTGAGTAGCTAGGATGACAGGCTTGAACTACCATCACTGGGCAAAACCTTATTGTCTTAAAGAACCTCCCTCCCTTTCATCCCCACCAATGCTTTCCTATTTGTTCCTGGCGCTCACAGTTTGCTCCAATGTGTTTCTATGCAGGTAAGAGAGCGTTTACTCCATATCGTCACAATTACTTCCTTGAGGCTTGCTGTCAAAATTAATGAAGAAGAGGAGGTACGCATTCCTGGAAGTCTGTCTGCACTAAGTTGCAGACAGGGGGCAGGGATATCACTTTGTCACTTGGAGATCCTAAAAAGTTGATACCCTTAGGAATCCACTAGCTTCCTAGGATCTTTGCTGTCTCTTCTTTTAACTTCTCAGACTCCCCACAAATAGAAAAGTAACACAACTGAACTCTCCTGGCCCCATATCCCAAGACTTGAGCTCCTGGAGGGCACAGCTGGTGTTGGGGAAAAAGGCTTCTCAAAGCATGTGGTTTAGGGCTGGGAAGGTGGCTTAGTGGTAGAGTGCTTGCCTAGCATACATGAAGCCCTGGGTTCCATTCCTCAGACCCACATACACAGAAAAAGCTGTGGTAGAGTGCTAGGCTTCAGCAAAAGACGCACAGGGACAGAGCCCAGGCCCTAAGTTCAAGTCCCAGGACTGGCAAAACAAACGCAAAAACAATACCATGTGGCTTAAAGTCCATTCCAGAAAGCTACTTGAGATTTGGCTTGGCTGTGCCCGTGGGCCTTAAAGACTCTAGGATCCTTCTCTGAGAGAAGCCATATGCCAGTGGTGGAGGAGAAGCTCCTGTAAGTTCTTGGAGCTTGCTCAACCAGCTGGGTTTCATTGGGGATTTCTGCCTCTCTCAATACCCTTCCAGATGCTTCTCAATGCCCTCTGACCTCTCCTACTTTGGGGATGAGGTAACTACTTCCATTTCCAAAGTCTCCCTGGGTTGATCTCCTGGGCTGAAGAAATAGAGGGGGAAATGGTATGTGTTTCTTTCCTTCAATACAAAGTGTGTGTGTGTGTGTGTGTGTGTGTGCGTGTGTGTGTGTCTGTGTCTGTGTGCCTGGGTGCTGTCCTTTTTTTGCCCAAGGCTGGTGTTCTACCACTTAAACCACAGCTTCACTTCCAGCTTTTGGTAATTCATTGGAGATACGCTTCACATGGACTTTTCTGCCCAGGCTGGCCTCCAACCATGATCCTCAAATCTCAACCTCCTGAATAGCTAGGATGACAGGCATGAGCCACCGCCGACACCAGGCTGTTTTGTTGTTGTTTGTTTGTCTCAAAAGCATTTTTCTGATAGTCCACTGGAAGACATTTCAACTCCCATCACGGCTGCCCAGATCCCTTAGATAAGAAAACAAATGCTACAATGACATGATTATAGGACTTTGGCCTCTTTTATTTTTCTTTTTCTTGTATTACAGTCAATCCCATGTGTGAAAGATTTCATAGAGCACTATGGCTCCGGCTATAGGCCAAATGAGTTGCTGAGGATGGAGTTGGCCATTCTGGACACACTGTATTGGGACGTCCACATGGGGACATCGCTGGACTTTTTGACTACAGTAAGCACAGGGAATTTGCAGAGTCTCCCTGAGACTCTGGTGTGCCTTTGGAACAGCTGTATTACAACATAGAACAGCAAAACACAGACGTGCACATGTCCCTTCCACATGCACCACGGGGAGATGGCGCCACCCAGGGAAGAGTTAAAAACAAATAGATCTGACATCTCACATCATATTAGCACTCTCATTACTGCAGGACATTAAGTTCACTTAACAAAAGATATTTTCTCTCTCTTTTTTTTTAAAGACGGCACTATTATGGTGATTCTCTTTTAAATACACACTGCAAAAATATTTGACTTTCCATTCTATGAATATTGTACATAAATAGTTGTCTGTTTCTGCTACAATTTACACACAATCACTTAGCTGTCTTTTGTTCACCTACACACAACCCTTATTGAAGCTTTAGACCCTATTGATCTGGCACTTAAAAAAAATATCATACATTAGTTTGAGAGTTTGAGCGAGGGTAAAGATAGACCTCTTTCAGGATATGATTCTGTTAGTAAGGCAAAATTATGCAAGGTGGAAATGTCACGTCACAGGGTGTGGGTTTGTTATGATTCATGAAGATTAAATCACCGCAGGGCTATTTTATGATGGGAACTTGCCACTCTTGACAAAGTGACAGTTGCTTCTCCTGTCAAGCAAGATACAAGTAACTTTTCTGCTTCTTTCATCTAAGATAGCATGTTCCATTCTTTTAGACTTGAAACTGTCACAATCTTAATAATCTGGAATAGTATGTAACTCTTCTTTCCAAAGGGAAACATTGTATCTAGATCCTAGGGCTTCTAAGGACCAAGACACAAAGTAGATTGTCTTTTTTTCCTCTCCAGGATTGAAGTTCAAGTTGGTCTCAGAATGGAGTCCCCTCCCCCCATTTTTTTTTAAGGGGGAAGGTGATGGATGGGAATAAGAAGACTAGGATTGCATTTGCTACACCCTGAAATTGTTCCCACTTTGGGTCATTGACATAGGAAAAGTATGAGAGAGGGAGGGATTTCTGTTTGTTTCTAACATTAAAAACAACAACAACAACCATGGTTCTCTAGTTCCACGCCCTGGTGGTCCTGACATGGCCCCATGTGGTAGAACTGTTGCCTCAGAAAAATCCTTCTCTCCACGTCGAGTCCCTGACCAGGCAGCTACAACACTGTATAGCAGGCCACCAGCTACTGCAGTTCAAAGGTTCCACACTGGCTTTGGTCATCATCACCTTAGAGTTGGAGAGGCTCATACCCGACTGGTGTGCTCCTACATCTGATCTGCTAAAGAAAACACAGGTAAACATCAACTTTGCCCCCAGCATCCCCCTGGACAAGCATCTGTCTTTTATCCCCTTAAACTGATATACTCTGATTTTCCACCAGGATACCCATGATGGCCATACAGGGCTCCCAGAAGATGTTCTTGCCTTGGTTAACTGTGGCAAGAATCAGCCCAAAGGGCTGGGAATGTGGCTTAGGGGTAGAGTGCTTGCCTAGCATGCATGAAGTCCTGGGTTTGATTCCTCAGTACCACATACACAGCAAAAGCCGCACGTGGCTCTGTGGCTCAAGTGGTAGAGTGTTAGGCTTGGAGCAAAAGAAGCTCAGGGACAGTGCCCAGGCCATGAGTTCAAGCCCCAGGACTGGCATTAAAAAAAATCTTTCCAAGTTATACTCTGTAGACATCAATATGAGAAACTTTAGCTCCCTTCTCCAGAGCAATGGAGATGCATTTCTGACAAGGAGAGAAACATGATTGCAGTGGTTGCTCATGTGGCCAAAAAAGGATTAGTTTGTGAGAAGGGAGAATCCTGAGCTTAATATTGGGGACCACACATTGCAGGTCCCCTCCCGGTATGAATGTATGGTACCAGGCATGGGAGATGGAAAGGTGATACTGGATGGAATGGGTAGTTAGATGGCTAACGGTTTTAGCGAGGTTGGAGATGGATATCTCTAAGGTGGTACTGAATGCTCTAAAGTTGGGTGGTTTGCACCCTGCACCATGCAACATGTTGACACTGAACTGTCTACTCCTTGGATGTCTGCTTCACATCTAGCCACTCTGTTTTGACACAGGTTGATCCTGAGCGGTTTGGCTACTGTAAGGAACTTGTAAAGCAGCACCTGAGAAGCTTACACAGACAGCTCTGACTCGACCTGACAGCTTCTGTCTCTGTCCCTAACCCAATGCCTAGTTAGACCCGCCCCCCCTCCTTGCTTAGACACCTGTGAATCCTGTAATTGGTATTATGAATCCTGTAATAAGAAGGGAGGAAGAGTCAGTGGCTCACACCTGTCATCCTAGCTACTCAGGAAGCTGAGATCTGAGCATCTTCGTTCAAAGCCAGCCTGGGAAGGAAAGTCTGTGGGAGTCTTACCTCCAATTAATCACACACACACACAAAAAGCCAGAAGTGGAGCTGAAGTTCAAGTGGTAGAGTGCTAGCCTTGAGCAAAAGATGCTCTGAGTTCAAGCCCCAGGATAGGCACAAAAAGAAAGAAAAGAAAGAAAGAGCGAAAGAAAGGCAAGAAGGCTCCAGAAGAGCAACTGAAATTTCTTCCATCTTTAGAAGACAGCAGAAGGAATACATGCTCACTCAATCTGCTCTTAGATTCTGTTCCTTGCTCATCAAGGATTGGTACTACAGCTAGATTATGAGGTCCGAGGGTGACCTTGACTCAGGCCTGAAGGACAAGGGCTGGGGCCTGGATTGACCAGTTCTTGCTGCTCTACCCACCAGGGCTGACCATCTCCTTCTAGTTTCCCAGTCCTACCCCTTCAATGAGTCCATTATTCTTTGGTCAGTCTGAAGCAAGGGAGTTTTCTTAGTCTAAAGGATTATATGCTAATTGATTGTGTATCTACAAATCACCTGTGAGGGCAATCCCCAGAGCTGTTTGGGAAGAGGAGGAAGGAAGAGACTGGCCCGATTGTTGGAGAAGCCAGCTGCTTCTCTGAAGCCGTACTAGATAGAGGGCCATTCTCTACATGGTGAAGCCCAGCTGGCAAAGATGTCAGCCCGCCATGTTGGAGATTTGAATGCCTGTACCACACATTTAGAGGTGGTTTGCAGAGCCTTTCTTTCCACTGTGAACGGCTGCTTTGTTGAGTGTGCCGAGTTCTGAGGTGGGGGGTGGGGAATGGCGCAGAGTCTATGGTCAAGGACCAGATAGACCATCCTGGTATCTGTATTAACAGAATCACCATATAGCTCTACCTTTCCTGGATACACATTTGTTAGTTGGGGCTTTTGGGGGGGGGTGTTAATAAATAAATACGTTTAATTGCTTCCAATGCTGTCTGAATCTTATTTTGCATTTATGGGTCACTGTACACTTGACCTTGTTGAGTGCACTTGGAACCACGCTCCCCTGGGTCCTACCAATCACTCTTCCGCCTCCTCAGGTCTCAGAAGGACTAAAATGAGAAAGTGGGGATTAAAGTGATGCACTGAAAGTCCAGCTAGCAGACTGGTATGGCGACATTACCAATGAAAATATAACTCCCTGGATCTACAAGGGAAAAGCATCCCGAACTTAAATAGATAGATTTTTGCCAGGCACTGGTGGCTCACACCTGTCATCCTAGAGACTCAGGGGACTGAGATCTGAGGATCATGGTTCAAAGCCAGCCCGGGCAGGAAAGTCCATGAGACTCTGATCTCCAATAAATTAATCAGAAAAAGCCAGACGTGGCACTGTGGCTTGCCTTGAGCTGAAGAGCTCAGGGACAATGCCCAGGCCCACAGTACAAGTCCCACAACCAAAAATAAAATGTTATATATATAGTTTAATAGGGGCATACTGCTTAGGACCCACTCTCCTTGCTCTTAAGTAGGCACTGTGGGTAAGACAGATCTTCCTAAGGTAGGACCTATATCAACTTCCCTCCCTCTAGCTTTGGGTGACTGCTGGCAGTCACCTAGGCCTGTCAGCCTACCGAGTAGAATGTAACCTGAGTCTCTTAGGGCCCAATGCACTCTCAACCTTGTGGAGGAAGAAGGCCCGAGAACCCCCAGCCCTGGGGGGTAAGGGAGCTTTACTTGGTGCTTGTCTTTCTATAGACTTGGACAGGTTCAAACAATCCTGCTTGCTTAGCCGAGTGCTGGTGGCTCACACCTGTAATCCTAGCTACTTGGGAGGCTGAGATTTGAGGATCACAGTTTGAAGCCAGCCGAGGCAAGGAAGTCTGTGATACTCTCTATCTCCAACTAACCACCGGAAAACTGAAGTGGAGTGTGGGCAAAGCGCTTGAGTGCTAGCCTTGAGCAGAAAAGCTTAGCACCCAGGCCCTGAGTTCAAGCCCCAGGACCAACAGCAACAACAAAAATTCTTCTTGCTGCTTAACTTTGCCTCAGGACCCAGAGTCCTATTTTAATTTCCTCATTTATTTTATTTTATTGTCAGTCGTGGGGCCTGAACTCTGGGCCTGGGTACTGTCCCTTAGTTCTTCAGCTCAAGGTGAGCACTCTACCACTTGAAGTGGCACTTCAAGCCTTTTCTGCTTATGTGGTGCTGAGGAATTGAACCCAGGGCCTCATGCATGCAAGGCAAGCATTTTAGCACCAAGCCACCTTCCCAGCCCCTTATTTTAAACATCCCACTTGCGTATAGACACTGGGAATCTTCTTTTTCTTTCTTTTTTCCCCCTTTATGGCCAGTCCTGGGGCTTGAACTCAGGGCCTGGGCACTGTCCCTGAGCTGCTTTTGCTCAAGGCCAGCACTCTACCACTTGTCACAGCACCACTTCTGGCTTTTTCTGTGTATGTGGTACTGAGGAATGGAACCCAGGGCTGCATGCATGCAACAGTCGTGGGGCCTGAACTCTGGGCCTGGGTGCTGTCTCTCAGCTCTTCAGCTCAAGGCTAGCGCTCTATCACTTGGGCCACAGCGCCACTTCTGGCTTTTTCTGCTTATGTGATGCTGAGGAATCGAACCCAGGGCCTCATGCATGCAAGGCAAGCGCTCTACCACTAAGCCACCTTCCCAATCCCAACACTGAGAATTCTTGTGAGGAGATTGTAGATATCACCCACCTCTGTGTGTGTGTGTATGTGTGTGTGTGTGCACGCACACACATGCATGCATGCATGTGTGCACTGGTACAGGGGGCTTGAACTCAGCATCTCAGGCTCTCACTTGGCATTTTCACTCAAGGCTGGCACTCTGCCAAACCCATACTAGAGCTTTATTTATTTACTTTGCCAGTCCTGGGGCTTGAACTCAGGGCCTGGGCACCATCCCTAAGTTTCATTTGCTTAAGGCTAGCACTCTATCACTTGAGCCACAGTGTCACTTCTGGCCTTTTCTGTGTATGTGGTACTGAGGAATTGAACCCAGGCTTCATGCATGCTAGGCAAGCACTCCAGCACCAGGCCACATTCCCAGCTCCTGTGCTTTAAATCTTGATGGAGGGTTGGTCTCTCCACACCCTGCCTCCCACAGGTAGTCAGCTATGCCTTCACTGGGGACTGCATGCTAGCCTTCCAACTGGGCTGTCAGCTGAGTCCCCATTCTCCTCATCTTGGTCTTTTTAGGATCACCCAGTGCCCAGCAAAGACAAGCCATCTCCAATGCACCCAAGTGTTGTGATTCTCTCCAACCACAGTCTGCCATTCTTCAACCGAACATGTACCCATCTCTCCGGACTTCCCATCTCTATGAGCCCATGTTGGGTCCCCCAACCATGCTGTCACTTTTAACACTGACCAAAAGTCTGTGAGCCTATTGGGACGTCAAGGGGCGTGGGGATTACTTAGTGTTCAAATAGTAAGGGTTCAAATGTTCAAATCCCAGCTCTGCTTAGTGTATGACTTGGGGAGGGGGGGGATAATTATGTAACTTCTCTGTACCTCACCTATGCAAAGAGCAATTCTCCCTGATCATAGGATTCCAATGAGCATGAAAGGAGTTAATGCATGTAATTAGAAGAGGTGAGAGGTTACTAACACAGGTTAGTAGTTCCAGTGCGCAGCCTCCTAGATGAGGAAGCAAACTCCCCTGAAGACAGGGGCTGCTTCGCTCCCATCTGCCCAGTAAAGGTTCATGGGTACTGACAGCATTTCCTGTTTCCTAAGACTGTCTCTGTCCCAACCTTCATAGACGTCCACAGCAGGATTCACAATGAAAATGTGAACTCGTACAGAAGTAGATGATGGCCATAAATTCACAGCACACACCACAGCTGGAGCATATGAACACACTCAGGAAACCTGTTGAATCCACACAGCTATTGCCCCCAAAAATGACACCATAAAAACTCAAAAGTAAATGCAAAATTTAATGGGGAAAAAAAATGAGTACAAAGTGAATGAAAAGGAACCAAAACAGTCAATGAATGAAGGGGGTAAATGAATTAACAAGTGACAGCAGTTACGATTAAAGCAATGTTAACATAACAGAAGAGCAAGCTGGTGTGCACCACAGGCCTCCAATCCATAACATGGGGTTCCCGCTCAACTAGGGAGCCCTTACATAGACAGACACAAACACCAGCAGCCAGTCTGCACCATTACAAGCTGATTCAGGTCACCCACACTTCCCAGATCTGCCTTGTGCCTGTGAACTGGCCTAAGTATTAACAACATCCTCTTCCTCTCTCAAGAGTCCCATTTACAATAAATATATATGGCAATTCTCACATGAACCAAAATGGCTCAGGTACAGTAAGTGCCAACGTGATTCTATATGACAGCCTACCAAGGCTATAATAGTGCCAACAGATGACAAAAAAAAAGGGGTTAATAACCCATGCTAAATAGAGGCCAGTTTTATGCTCACCTTTGTATACCAGCAGTTATTGTGGTTTCAGCTAAAGGTAACAGAGTTCCAAACACAGTAGGGTTAGAGGGGCAATGAGGTTTGCTATAGCGGATGGAACCTGTGTGGGGGGGACTCAGATTCCCCCCCCCCACAGGTCTTCTCCCAAATTCTGGTACGTCTTGGGGCCCACAGGTAAGCAAATAGACACAATTATGGCCTTCCAAGGTGCCCCAGGATGTGACTGGCAGGGTCTACCTACTCCAGAGCCCCAGGTTGACCTATGAGACAGGAGTCAGCATTTCTTCTATATCAGATAACCTGCCGGGTCATTCCTTATCACCAGAGATACACTGACTAGGACAGGCTATGTTGAAGATCATGCTTTCTTTGCACCAAGGAATTACACTTGCAGGTATACAATTGCCCTGAAGAGGGGGCTGCTGGCCCACATTGCACATCTACCTTGGCTGTTTGCTGGCTCACCTCCGCAGATGCCCACACAGAAGCTTCTGTTTTGACATCACAACTACAGGGGGCGTTATTGCGGAGCTAGTGAAGCTGAATCTTCAGCGTCCCTTCTAAGGCCCTGTACCTAATTATATATCTGATTATTTTTCTTGAAATAATTCCAAGACGTCAGTCTTGCAAAACAAAATCAGGACTTGTCCAGGTCGTGGCATACTACATAAGAGAATTTTCACTTGGGGCAGCAATAAAACCTGCTCTACTCCTGATGTGAGGAGCTCATCTCAGTTAAAGTCTGTTCCTTCCTAGCCATGTGGTAGTTCAGGACAGCCTACCCCTCTGCCTCACGCTGAATAGAACATCTTAGAAAGGCAAGAGGATGCCCAGGCTTGGTCCTAGATATCAGTGCAGCAGGCCAGGCAAATAGGGGAAATGGTGAGGAGAAGGAAGACGGGATGGTGGTGGGTGAGAAAAACCAACAACCCAGTAGAAATGAGGGCAGCATCCTTGGGCTCCCAGCAGGGGGCGCGCGGGAGCTGGCTCCTCCAGGGGAGGCCTGTGTGGGCCTCTTGGAAGCCCAGTACAGCTCAGAACAAATGCTGCAGCAATATTAATTGATTTCCACCTTCCTAGTGCTTGAACTCAGGGCCTGGGTGCTGGTGCTAAGCTCTTTTTAAATCAAGGCTACTGCTCTACCACTTGAGCCACAGCTCCACTTCTGGCTTTTTTTTTTGATAGTTAATTGGAGATAAAAAGTTTCACAGGCATTCCTGCCCGGTCTGGCTATGAACAGTGATCCTTAGTTCTCAGCCTCCTGATCTCAGCTAGGATTACAGGTGTGAGCTACCAGAGCCCTTTTCCATCCCCTATTTTATCAGGTCATTCTTTCCCCCCAACTCTGATGCTCCTGATGGCTTGTAAACTACCAGGAGTATAGAAGAAATGCTGGTAGTACTTTGTTTTGGTCAGTTGTGGGGCTTGAACTCTGGGCCTGGGTGCTGTCCCTTGGCTCTTCAGCTCAAGGCTAGCGCTTTACCACTTGAGCCACAGCACCACTTCTGGTTTGCAGGTATTTAATTGGAGATAAGAGTCTCATGGACATTCTTGCCTGAGCTGGCTTTGAACTGTGATCTTCAGATCTCAGCCTCTTGAGTAGCTAGGATGACAGGCGTGAGCCACTGGCACTGGGCTGCTGCTAGTACTTTCCTAAAATGTTCCCTGGAACATTACAGCTGGAGGAGGGAAATACTCTGACTGCTACGTTTTTTTTTTTGTTTGTTTGTTTGCTTGTTTTTTTTTTCAGATTGTCTTAATACATTAAGTACTTTCATCTCTTCATCCTGTGACTCAGCCAGGAAAGAAGAGAAAAATGACTTTGAGGTCACGGAACACTCTTTGCATTCCGAATACGCAGGGCTGGTTTGAAGTCTTATTTGGAGTCAAACACTTAACACACACACACACACACACACACACACAAACACACGGAGTGTCTCCGTTGGCAGGTAGCACCCTCGGGAACAGAGACAATGCTGCTCTATTTACATTCACAGTAAAAAGACAACAACAACAAAATGCTGGATGGAGAAAGGGGAAAGGGTCATGTTCATGTTCCACTCTCATTGGTAAAGAAATTCCAAACACTGTCATTACAGGAAGTTTATTACCCACCTCTCCCTGGATATATTAGTCGGTACTTCATACATAAGAGAAGTTTAGAGGGTGGTTTTTGTTTTGTTTTTAGTTTTGAAAAAATAAAGGAATCTGTTATTTATGAAAATCATGGGAGAGGAGATTATTTGTCTTTACCCGGGTGCCAAAATCTAGAAGTATTCCGAAGTTATCATGCGTAGTAGTAAGTTCTAGGTTAGAAAAAAAAAAAACGCAACGGAAAGGGGGAAATCGGGCAACTTTTGTAGCATGATACCAAACCACAGGCCACACACCTAAGGCACCGCGAGAGTTGCCATCTTGATAGCGAACTGTTAAGGCCTTAGCATCACCAAGTTGGGACCTTCACTCTATAGAGTGACAGTCACCTCTCCATCAAGGGATAGTGACACTGTAAATGGAAGACCAGCCACTGGCTCTGAAAAAAATAAACCTTGTCAGTTTTGGATTCCAGCATTCATGGCTTTTGACATTTGCATAGAGAAGGGCTAGCCCACCAGGTCCAGGGATGGGGGAATCCTGGGAGACCAGGGCTGGGTTGGGTTGGGGTTTGGAGTTGGGGAAAGGGGAGAGGGGGAGCGAGGCAAAGCTGTAAACACTGGAGTCTGTACCGGCTCCTAGTCCATCCTCATACCATGTTATACGAGAAGGGTCACAAGGTGTAACTCAAGCAACTTAACACATGAAAGTCTAAAGTCCGCTCTTGACATGTAAGTCTGTGCGTGCATTAACTGAAAAATAAAAATAAAACAAACAGAACAACAACAACAACAAAAAAAAACAGACACATTAAAAAAAAAAAACCAACAACCACCACCACAAACAAAAAGATACGTAGACCGAATCAAAACAGAAGCAAAAGACAGCGAGATGGACAACTTGGGAAAGGGCAGTTCAGTTTGGCATGTGTGACGAACAAAGCAGAGAATTCGCTTCAGTTTGGGTCGTCGCAGGCTGAGGGTCAAGATCTGATTGGGAAGTAATGTCGCAAAAATGGATTAAAATGTGAAGAACCAAGTAACACCAACCCAAACCTATCTAACTAAATGCTCATGAACAATTCCCCTAAATGCACTCCACACCAACCCCATGGATCGGGGTAGGAAAGCCACAGGCCCTTCTACCCAGCCTACCCAGCCTGGCTCCATGGTGAACACTGGAAGAGTGTTCTCTCTCCCGTAGGCCCGATTGGAGCCTTCTGGCACAATGGGCCAACAAAAAGGGTCTGTCTTCCAGGTCCAGGCCTGGACAACAACATACAAGGGAATCCAGATGTCAGTGACAATCCCCCACCAAGAGTTGTGCTGGCCTTTGACGGTGAGCTCCATCCAGTGGGCCTGAGCTGCTATATACAGGTCCTTGACTTCCAGGGGTTTTTTTTCTTTTTTTTGGTGTGCCAATATTGGGGCCTGAACTCAGGGCCTGGGCATTGTGCCCGAGTCTTTTATGCTCAAGGCTAAGGCTTTACCACTTGAGCCATACCTCTACTTCTTGCTTTTTGCTGATTAAATGGAGATAAGATTCTCATGGACTTTCCTGCCCAGGCTGGTTTTTGAGCCATGATCTTGAGATCTTAGCTTCCTGAGCAGCTAGGATTATAGGCATGACCACTGCTGTCTGGCTTTACAGCTTCTTTCTTTCTTTCCTTCTTTTCTTTCTTTCCTTCTTTTCCTTCCTTCCTTCCTTCCTTGCTTGCTTGCTTACTTGTTGGTTGTGGGGCTTGAACTCAGGGCCTGGGCACTGTCCCTAAGCTCCAGTTTTCTGATAGCTAATTGGAGGTACGAGTCTCACAGACATTCCTGCCCAGGCTGGCTTTGAACCACGATCCTCAGATCTCAGCCTCCTGAGTAGCTAGGATTACAGGTATGAGCCACCAGTGCCAGGCCACAGCTTCTTTTCTAGGGACCCTGCCTACCTCTTCTCTAACAGGATGCTCTGCACCATGCTGGCAGGGACCAGGGCCAAGTCACTTTGGGTATCACAGAGCTCCCTTTATACCCCATCCTCTCCAAGAGGAGACACATTTCTGAGCTGCCATCTTGAAACTCACACCTCAGGCCCCTAAATGCTCACCAAGCCAAGGGCTGGGCATGGGATGAGGGTTGGAGAAGAGACAAAATCCTCATAGCAGAGGGGACAGTGAGGCTGAAGACAGACAGGGGCTTAAGCAATCCCAGCGCTGCCAGCGTCTGGCGGCCCAGCAGACACTGAGATAGAAGAGACTACAAAGAGGATTAGAGTCTAGCCCAGAGCAGAGGTCTTGGGAATGGTAAGGCATCCACCAATTTTTGTTGTTGTTATTGGTTGTGGGGCTTGAACTCTGGGCCTGGGCGCTGTCCCTCAGCTCTTCAAGCTCAAGGAGAGCGCTCTACCACTTGAGCCACAGCGCCACTTCTGGTTTTCTGGTGGTTCATTGGAGATGAGAGTCTCATGGACTTTCCTACCCAGACTGGTTTTGAACTGCGATCCTCAGGTCTCAGCCTCCTGAGTAGCTAGGATGACAGGCGTGAGCCACGGATGCTGGGCTGGCATCCAACTCCTAAGTACCAGATTCTCATTTCCTGAGTGAGGGAGGTATGTTAAGATTCTCTTTCTCAGCATGCACCTGCCTCTCAGCACGCACGCATGACCTGTGCCCTTGCGTGGGATGGGACAGGAGAGTAAGATTATGCGTGTGCAGGCCCACATGTGTTCAGGCGTGCAAGAGAAGCAGCATCGAGTGGACACAGCCAATGCTCTAGCTGCACTCCAGCTAAAGGTGTAGCAGCATACTATGAATAATGCCAAGGTCTGCAGTGGGGGGGGGGGGGGGGTAGGTCCACTGGTAGAGCACTCGTCTAGCACGTGCAAAGGCCCTGTTGGATCCCCAGCAAAAAATACAAATAAAAATAAAATCAATGAAAAGAAAGAAAATAAAAATAAACAAATAAAAGAAAGCTGACGAGGGAGGAGTAATTGGGTCGGTCCACCCAGCGGGTCAGCTGAGTGTGTATTTCTGGAAGCTGGGAAAACTTTTTTCCATACTTCTTTCTCTACTGCCTCCTACATGAATTCTGCCAGCCTCTGCCTTAGAGGCAGCTCTGCCCCCTTGAAGACATGGAGCCGCTGCACATGCCCTTTGGAATAGTTGGGTGGTGACCCTAATGGCTGACCAGTGCTTCTGGCTGCCACCTGCTGGCTGATGGAGGTCCCACACCCACTGGCTAGGAGACTAAGGCGGGACATGGCACAGCTGTCCACACAGAAACATGGGAGCTTTTGGAATAGGGCTGGGAATGCTCCTAGTCCCAGGCCTTGTCCCTGCTCCTCGCTGAGACTTGCCAACCTCCCTGCCCCTGGGGCCTAGCCCCTTCCGCACCATGCTGTGGCTGCTGAGGGCACTGTGGAGAGGAAATGAGGGAGAAAGAAAGAGCAAGGGGAGAGGCAAGCAGGAGGAGAAAGGGGTGTGGAAAGACAGATTGGGAGACATCAAGAACATTACTATAAGAAGAGACTGAGGCGCTAGTGGCTTACACCTGTCATCCTAGCTACTGGCGGGGGGTGGGGTGGGGTGGGGAGAGTCTCAGTTTGAAGCCAACCTGAGCAGGAAAGTCTGTGAGACTTATCTCCTATTAACCAGGGCGGGGGAATAAAAAAGGCCAACAGTGGAGCTGTGGCTCAAGTGGAAGAGAGCCGGCGTCGAGTGTAAAAGCTAAAGAGCAGTACCTAGGCCCTGAGTTCAAGTCCTAGTACCAGCACGGGGGGGGGGGGAAGGAGAAGAAAGAGGAGGTGGGAGAGCAAATACAAAGGAGAGAGAGAGAGAGAGAGAGCAAGACACCAATGGGAAAGAGAGAGCTAAGGGAGCAAAGCTGGGCCATGGATGATCAAGAGCAGCAGAAGGAGACACAAGGCGGCCAGAAGGAAGGGGCAGCGCGGGAGACGGAAGGGGACCCTGCCCAGGGAGGGGGGAGCCGCCACCTACTTCTTCTTATCCTTGTCCTTCCTTAGCGGCTGCTGCGAGGTGGCGTGCAGGGCCTGGGACTGCAGGGCCTCCACGGCGGCCTTCCTGCAGTTGAAGGCGTTGGTCTCATCTTCGAGTTCCCGGCGCTTCTCCTCCACCTTGCGCTTCTCCTCCTGGTGGATCCGCTTCAGGTGCTCAAACTTCTCATGGAGCTACGGCACAAAGGAATGCACTTTGGTATGGGGGCGGGGGGGGCGGGAAATGCCACGAGTCTTCACCTCCACATCTGGCTGGCCTGGCCCTGGACCAGGCCACAGTGCAACTTCCAGCCATTTTCTATGGATGGGGTACTGAGTAATCAAACCCAGGGCTTCGTGCATGCTAGGCATGCCACTAAGCTACCTTCTTTTCTGTGTCTGAAACCAGGATTTGAACTTGGTACCTGAGGCTTTCACTCACTGGCTCGCGCTCTACCAACGGAGCCACGCCGCCAATCCCAGCACGCACCTCTCTTTCTTTCTCCTTCAACTCCAGCTCTGTCTCTTTGACTTTGTTGACGAACATCTGCCTCATCTCCTCCTCCTTCCTCTGCAGCTCGCTCAGGAACTCCTTCCTCTTGGCCTCGTAGGTCTCCTGTAGGCTGCGGAGATGGCAGGGAGGGAGGTCAAAGGGTTGGGGGGGGCGTAGACTCAGGAGGAAGAGAGGGAAGAGGAGGCTAAGGTCACAAGACCCACACAACAGACGCTGCTGGTGACCTGGGCAGCCGGGGCTGTGTCACCTGAAGGGCTGGCTGTCACCGTCGCTGTCCTGGAAGCCCATCTCTTCTAACTTGCAGCGCCGGTACAGCTCATAGTGCCGACTGTGCGTCTGCTCGCGCAGGTCCTCCATGTTCACCCGGATCAGCATCTCCCGCAGCTTCACGAAGTCGCAGTGATTCTCATTCTCCACTGGAAGTTGGGGACAACATGGGACATGAGGGGAAGACAGTGAGAGACAGGGGTTGATGGGCCTTAAGCAGCAGGATAGGGGAGACAGAGTTCAGGCCCACCCATCTGGGGATGCACTCCCCCCTCCATCCTGCCCCCATACTCACCCTGTACCACTCCCCAAGGGTACTGCCGCGCCCGGACCAGTTTGTTCCCCACCTTCACCTCCTCGGTGCTGCCCACCACGGCAAAGGGCAGGTGCGCCTGCAAAGGGGCCCAGAGGATGTGTGAGCACCATGCTGGTACATAAGGGGCAGATTCTCCCTCACTGCTTCCAGAGTCTCAGGAAGGGGTTGCTAGATCTGAATGAAGACCCAGGGTTATTGCTGGGTGTGGGTGGTTCACGCCTGTAGTCCTAGCTACTCAGGAGGCTGAGATCTGAAGATCATGGTTCAAAGCCAGCTCAGGGAAGGAAAGGCCGTGAGACTAGTATCTCTGATTAATCACCAGAAGTGGGAGCTGGGGCTCAAGTGGTGGAGCGTCAGCCTTGAGCAAATAAAGCACTCAGACCCTGAGTTCAAGCTCCAGGGCTGGCATCAAACAATAACAACAAAAGGCCCTGGGTCTAGAAGCTTACTGGCTCTCTTGGAGAAATGTTTTAGGTCTTCCAAACAGGGCAGAGAGCTGAACTCTTGCCCTCCTCGCTGGTGCTTCTGACTCCCTAACCTGTGCATAGAACCTATGCTCCAGAACTTAAGAGAACACTCAAGTGTCCGGGAGCATTTCCAGCACATGCCAAATACCCGATTCCTCCTACCCTGTCCACAGCACATAGGACTAGCCTGCTCCACATGTTCATCCATCTGTCCTAGAGAAGTTAGAGGCTGAATTCTAATTCAGAGTCTCCTGAAAGGGTTGACTCAGATCTGTGCTGGCTCTAAGCCCTCTGGCCCCAGGAACACTCACATTCATGACTGCATTAATCTCTGCCACAGCCTCATCGTCAGTGGGGAACTGGTAGATCTGGACTCCATTGCTGACCAACTCGCCCATGATCTTGATCTTGAACTTGTGCAGCTCACTCTTGGAGATGGTGTCCGCCTTGGCAATGATAGGGATTATGTTCACCTGTCAGGATCGGGGAGGGGAACAGACAGCAGGTTAGCTGGCTAACGAGTGGTCCCCAACTGTGGACAGTCCTGTCTAAGTCACCAGCCTTGTCCAGATTACAGAAGATTTGGAAGCCAGGAAGATAAGAGCTTCTCCCACGGGCAATCCCAGCCCACACTTAACCACCTTGGCCGTTTTGATGGACTATAAAAGGAATCATCAGCTGCAATGCTTCTTACTGTCCTAGTCCCAAACTACCTCCCACCCCAGAAAGACTCAGCTTGGACCTAGATTGCTCTAACAGTCTCAACTTGGCTGGCACCTGACAGAGCAAGGAGTGGGAAACTACACTCCCCACTGAGCACCAAAGATGATCCCCCAGCATCTCCCTAGCCAAGATGATCCCATTATTTATTTATTTATTTATTTTTTGGTCATAGGGCTTGAACTCTGGGCCTGGGCGCTGTCCCTCAGCATTTCAGCTCAAGGTGAGCGCTCTACTACTTGAGCCACAGCGCCACTTCTGGTTTTCTGGTGGTTCGTTGGACTTTCCTTCCCAGACTGGCTTTGAACCGCAATCCTCAGATCTCAGCCTCCTGAGGAGCTAGGATTACAGGTGTGAGCCACCAGTGCCCAGTAGATTATTCTTTTAATTTTAATTTTTTGCCAGTCATAGGGCTTGAATTCGGGGCCTGGGCATTGTCTCTGAGCTTCTTTTGCTTAAAGTTAGCACTCTACCACTTGAGCCACAGCACCACTTCTGGCTTGTTCTGTATATGTGGTACTGTGGAATCGAACCCAAGGCTTCATGCATGCTAGGCAAGCACTCTACCACTGAGCCACATTCCCATCTCCAATGTTATCCTATGTATCACAGTGAAAATTTATACCTGAGATGGGAAGTGGGGGGGGTGGGATTTAAGAGATGACATGACTGTGGGGTATGGAGGTGGGGAGGGAAGGTGGGGGTGGGGACCAGCAACCCTTCCTGACACATCCCAGGAAGCTGCCCCCACTGTCTTCATAATACCTACCCTCCCCCCTCCCCCATTTCTGGCTTCACTTTCGGCTCTTACTGAAGAAGAATCAAGGAAGAAACCAAAGGGGAAGCCAACCAGAGAGGAAAAGGCAAGTGCTAGGAATCAGGAACTGTGCAAGACAAAATGAGCAGACAAAGCTAAACTGGGAAGGGATGCTCTGGGGAGCCGGTCACAGGGAAGTGGACATTATTCAAGAAGGAACTAGGTGGGCTAAGAAGGAAAAGAAAGAGATTCAAGGCCAGACCCAAAGCCAGGCACCGGTGGCTCACGCCTGTAATCCTTAGCCATTCAGGAGGCTGAGATCTGAGGATCACAGTCCAAAGCCAGCCCGGGCAGGAAAGTCTGTGAGCCTCTTACTCCAATTAGCCACTCAGAAAACCGAAAGTGGCGCTGTGGGTCAAGTGATAGAGCGCTCGCCTTGAGCTGAAGAGCTGAGGGACGGCGCCCAGGCCCAGAGTTCAAGCCCCACGACCAACAAGAACAACTACAACAAGGCCAGACCCAAAGGACGGGGCTCTGGAGAAAGATCCCAGAGTTCTGGCAGGCCTGCTGGAATAATGGAGAATAACAATGCAAGTTGCAATGCAAGAGGACCAAGCCGAGGAGGACTGCGCACAAGTCCCTGACTCGGTGAACAATCTAACTACAGCCATTACGTCCCAGAGGAAGATGGTGGAGCCTATAGAAGGAGGGGGGGGTGGGAAGGGAGTACCTTGCTGTCTAGTTTCTTCATGGTCACCAGATCCAGAGACTTTAGGGAATGCCCCGTGGGTGTGATGAAATAGAGGCAGACGTGGATCCTCGTGTCGTGGTAGTCAAAGAGGGAGCGGCGGATCTTCAGTTCTTCTTGTAGATAGTTTTCAAACTGCGCGTCGATGTAGTCAACTATAGGCCTGTAACTACAGACAGCTCTATCACCAGGGAGATGCGCAGCTGGGCTGCAGGGTATGGGGCCCCAAACCACACGAGCTACCCCACCTCTACCTCTCCTCCCTGGGAACCAACAGCTCTGCCCTGTCTGGTACAGGTGGCTGGTCCCTAGTCCTGACGACTCTCCCAGTGAATCGATTCTCCCTGGTTTGTGGGCAACTATAGGGCATCAGATATTGCCCTGGCCCCCTGGCATGTGAGGGCATGGCCATTCATATGGGGACTGTTGGGAGCAAGAAGTGATTGAGCGGTTTTAGACCTAAGGCCCAGGCAGATGGGATAGATAAAGGCTGGGGGGGGGGCGGGGAGTCTCGCCCTTCCCGCCTCTTGCCTCTCATCCTTGTTGATCTGATCCCCGAAGCCCACGGCGTCCACGATGGTCAGTTTGAGGTGCACATTGCTCTCTTGGAGGTCATAGGTCTGGGGCCGGAGGCGCACACACTCCTCGTGGTGACTGGCTTCCTCTGTCTCGAAGTTGGTGTTGAAGAGTGTGTTCATCAGCGTAGACTTGCCAATGCCAGTCTCCCCTGGGGAGCAGGGACAGCGGGGCCAAGAAGGGGATGGTCAAAGTCTGGGGCCACAGTGATCCCTGGCGGCTAGGCCACACAAGAGAGGGGAGCTGGCCTTCCACGCCATCCTTCACTCTCCCGGTCCCCTGTGAACTTTCCCTTCCCCCTGAGCCCTTAGAAATAACGTGCGTGAGGTGGGGCTGCAGCTTGGTGGTACGGTGCTTGCTTAGCATGTGTGAGGCTCCTATGTCCTAGATGGCCTCTTAACCAAGCAAGGGGGAGGCTCAGCCTCCTTTCTGAGTGACACCTTGCAGAGGGCCTGGCAGAGCACTCTGTGCCCTGTTGGGAGGGCCTTGAGGTGCAACCCCCTCCCCCCACCAGAGCCCCCACACTGAGGTTGTGTTGGTTCAAATATGTGCTGGAGATTTACTCTATGATCTGTGATGAGGGGCAGAGTCTGGTTTTTTCATAGTGTCTTTTTTTTTTTTAACACATAGGAAGAAGAGTAAATGTTTTCCAAATCAATCGATGAGCACATGGATTTACATCCCTGAGAGACGACCACAGTTTATAAAGGACTTCCATGGGCCCAATCCTGCTTCCTCTTCCTGATAATGCTCAGTCAAGTCCTAGCTCTAATCCTGTCCTTGACCCTGGCAAAGGGCAAGGACAACCAGACCCTCATCCCAAATCTCAGAAGTTTCATTCTTCCTGGGAGAACCTTCACAAAGCTCCACAGGTGGCCAGGGCAAACAGCACCCCATTCTCCTTGAAGGTTCTCATCTGTTTTTGATCTCATGTGCCTCCTAGCCAGAGCTTGATACTCACCCACACAGAGGATGTTGAAGCTGAAGCCCTGTGTGACTGACTTGCTGACCAGCTGGTCAGGGAGGCTGTCGAAGCCCACATGGCCACCCAGGGACAGGCTTCGGGGCTCGGGCTCCACATTCTGCCACAGACAAGCAAAGCAAGGTAGTGAGTTCACTGGAGAATCCAGACCAAGTTAAGGAGAGGCTACAGGTTGGTCAAACCATCCTTGCCCTCTTGTGCCTGAGCTCTCAGCTCTCAGGGACATACCTTGGGTGCTCTGGAGCTCCAACTCCATCATGCCAAGCTCCCCTAGAGGGGCTCCTGGTTCTGGCCTTGCAAAAGTCCCTTAAATCCCTGCATCTCAGCTCCATCTGGGATGACCAGATTTGTTTGGGGTTGTAGCTCCATGTTTCTTTCTTTTTTTTTTTTTTGGGTCCAGTCGCGGGGCCTGAACTCTGGGCTTGGGCACTGTCCCTCAGCTCTTCAGCTCAAGGCTAGCGCTCTACCACTTGAGCCACAGCGCCACTTCTGGCTTTTTCTTTTTGCTTATGTGGTGCTGAGGAATCGAACCCAGGGCCTCAGGATTGCAAAGCAAGCGCTCTACCACTGAGTCACCTTCCCAGCCCCGTAGCTCCATGTTTCTGAGCACAACTAGCTCCAGAGAGTCTGGCTGCTACCCTGTGGGGCTCATGGACCTTCTTGCCCACCCAAGAGGGGCCCCAGATGGTCCACAGGGAGGGGGGTTCTTTGGCTTGTTTTGAGGCTGGACATGAGCTCATGATCCTCTTGCTTCAGCCTTCTAAGTGCTGGGATAACAGATGTACACCATGATGACCAGTTCTCTTGAGTCTTTTGAGGATTTTTTTTGGGGGGGAGGAAGTCATGGGGCTTGAACTCAGGGCTTGGGTGCTGTCCCTGAGTTCTTTTGCTCAAAGCTAGCACTCTATTACTTTGAGTCATGGTGCCACTTCCGGTTTTCTGGTGGTTCATTGGACATAAGAGTCTCATGGACTTTCCTGCCTGGGCTGGCTTTGAACCCCGATCTTCAGTTCTCAATCTCCTGAGTAGCTAGGATTACAGGCATGAGCCACCAGCATTTGGTTCCCCTGCATGGTATAGACTAGAGTGCATCCATAGACCAATTAACCATATGTGTAGATTGCACACAATTTTGACACCTCCCCACCCCTCCACCTCCCGGCAAAAAAAAAAGACTTAAAAAATCAAAAGAAATTTCAAACCAGGCATGGTGGCTCATTTGCAATACTAGCTTCTTGGGGACCTAGGGTGTGTGGGCTAAGCCCAAACCCTTTACCATGGCATTTTAGGCCTTCCTGACCAGCTTGATTCCAGCCCAGCTGGCTAGTTTCAATTTCCCTTTTCAAACCTTTCCAGTATTCATGAAGACAGCCTACAACTGGAGCTCCCTCCTCCTTTTGGCATTCTCTAGCAATCCCTAGGTTCTGCCTATGCCATCCTCTCCCAGCTGTGCTTTGTTTGGACGATTCTAGAGGAGAATGCAAAGGGCTTGACCTTAGCCGAGCTGGCCCCTGGCACTATAAAAAGAAACTCTAAAGAACGAAAGCAGAGGGTTCAAGGTCAGACCCCCAGCTGTGAGGATGGTTTGTCTGGCTTTCTTAGGCATGGGTGGAAAATGTGACCTCTGGATGGAGGGAACCCAGGCTCAGCCCTGATTGGAGGGCAGACCCACACAGCCCCACCTCCTCCATCCTAAATGTCTGTGCTCTAAGCACCAACTGGAAAGAGCAAGGACAGAAGAAGAATGATCAGTCTCGCCTGCCCCATCTCCAGCATGGCGGGGAAGCAAGAATGCGGAGCCCAGCCCAGGAATCACTGACTACCGAGACAGCCTTCCACAAATGTAGATACAGTACAGTGGGCAGAGGGGAGAAGACCAGACAGGAAGGCTCTGAACTCCTGCTCTAAGAGGGCTCTCTTCAACATCTGGATGCCTGCCCTCTGAAGCCACACCTATAGCCTTGGCCTAAGCACCTCTGGCCAGTCTCTCTTCACAACCAGAGCCCTGTGGCACCTGAACCATGCTTTTGCTACTTATATGCCCTCCTCCTGCAGCCCTGTGCCAATGCTTACAAATGTCTGTTGGAAGCTTAGAGCTCATATGACCTCTCTGGTCATGTATAACCCTCTGCAAACACATCGGAGTTGCTTGTAAACCTTTCCTCTTCAACACACACTCTCTCTCTGTGTCTGTCTGTCTGTCTCTCTCTCTCTCTCTCCCTCTCCTTCGATCCCTCTCCCTGTCTCTCTCTCTCTTTCTCTCCCTCTCTCTTTCTCTCTCTTGTTGGTCATGGGTCTTGAACTGTGGGCCTGGGCACCATCCCTCAGTTCTTCAGCTCAAGGCTAGCACTCTACCACTTGAGCCACAGCGCCACTTCCAGTTTTCTAGTGGTTTACTGGAGGTAAGAGTCTCATGGGCTTTCCTGTCCGGGCTGCCTTTGAACCATGATCCTCAGATCTCAGCCTCCTGAGTAGCTAGGATTACAGTTTTGGACCACCAGCACCCGGATCTCTCTTTTTTTGTGCCAGTACTTAGGGCCTCTTGTTCTCACTTGGCTTTTTTTTTGGGGGGGGGCCTCAAGACTGGTGTTCTACAAATGTAGTCATTATATTCAATATACATTATGTTAAAAAAAAGGAATTATGTAACTTGAAGGTAGGGACACAAGAAAGAAAATGGAAGAGAACAGAGGAAGGGGTGACACAATGACCAAGAAGTACTCATAACCTGATTTATGGAACTGTAACCCCTTTGTACAACTACTTACTAAGAGCAATTTTTTAAAAAGGCTAGCTTTCGAGCCAGGCGCTGGTGGCTCACGCCTGTAATCCTAGCTACTCAGGAGGCTGAGATCTGAGGATCGTGGTTCAAAGCCAGCCCGGCAGGAAAGTCCATGAAACTCTTATCGCCAATAAACCACCAGAAAACTGGAAGTGGCACCGTAGCTCAAGTGGTAGAGCACTCGCCTTGAGCTGAAGAGCTGAGGGACAGCGCCTAGGCCCAGAGTTCAAGCCCCACAACCAACAAAAAAAAAAAAAAAAGGCTAGCTTTCTATCACTTGTGCCACATCTTCACTTCTGGCTTTTTGCTGGTTAACTGAAAGTAAGAGTGTTTCAGATTTGCACTGAGCCTCAGTGTCAGTCTCCTGAGTAGCTACGATTAAAGGCTGAGCCACCAGTACCTGGCTGAAGTCTCTGTTCTTATAATTGGCTCTTCCTCCATATTGCCTATCCCCAGGACACTGTGTCCCATCTCCTTACTAAACCCAGATCCCCTGCAGGCTGCAAACACAACCCAATTATCAGTTTCAGGGCTTCTCTCCCAGGTACCCATATTAGAAACTCTGCACCGAGCCCAGGGTGTGTGGGCCAAATCCAAACCCCTTACCCTGGCATTTTAGAACTTGCTAACAGACTCAATTCCAGCCTAGCTGGCTATGTCCAAGTTCTCTTTCTGAGCCTTTCCTGGGGCTCTTGAGCTTCAGGAAGAGACTCTTTCCTGGCCCTTGAGTACTTACATCTAGACCCTTGCTGGCAATGATCCCATGTCCTGGCACTGTTCGTTATCTCCATATGGGACTTGGTTCTCCACCTGTTTATTCCATTTGCTGCTGGAAACTGGCTGCAGGTTGGGGAGATCGTATTTCCCATTCCTCCCTGCCTCCCCGCACTATGCTGGGGTACAAGACAGAGCTACCATTTAGCACGCACTGATAGCATCGCGAACAGCTACTGCCCCAGTGGGCCTTACATAGGGCTTCATTATTTGCTCTCTGCTCCACCTGCTCATGGCAGTTCGAGGATCTCATGAAGGACAGAACAGTTACTCTGGAGGTTTTTTGTTTTGTTTTTCTGTTTTTTTTTTTAACTTTTCAGGCGAGACGCAAAGTGTCCAAAAGTTAAGGCGTGCTGTGCTTGCATAGAGCAGGCTATGTGTTTATTCATCTTCTCCTTCCAAGGGTGACACAATCAGGATGCAATCCAACATCCTGTAGTCTGCAGCCAAAACCCACCAAGTCAGCTGTGTCTGGAAACCACACATACACACCCACCACCACCACCACCACCACCACCACCACCACCACCACAGTACCCTTGCAGAAAAAAAAACAAACAAACAGGCCATCACAAGCCTCTATTCCTCTACTTTCTTACCAGCTGGGCGCTGGTGGCTCACATCTGTAATCCTAGCTACTCAGGAGGCTGAGATTTGTAGATCTTGGTTCAAAGCCAGGCTGGGCATGAAAGTCAGTGAGACTCTTATCTCTGATTAATCACCAAAAAAGCTGGAGGTGGAGCTGTGGCTTAAGTGGTAGAGCACTATCCTTGAGCAAAAAATGCTCAGGGACAGTACCTAGGCCCTGAGTGTGAGCTCCAGGACCAGCGTGCGCGCGCGCGCACACACACACACACACATACACACAGAATGGCCACTGGAGACAAGTGCTCTTCCCTGGCTTCAAGAAACTAATGTGACCTTGACCTTCCAGCTTTACTGGGGGGGGTCAATCTCACTAATGCCAGTCTCCCCAACCATACATTTGACATCATTATAACACACAATCTAAAGCACCTCAGTCCTCCAAGTGCTCCCCAGGTCCCTGCTGACCTGGGTGGGGACACAGTCCAAGGAGGAGCCTCTGAAGCATCCCCTCTACATCCCAGCTACTAGGACTCAGAGACTGAGTCAGGTTCAGGTATCTCATTGGTTGCCCTGCCATCTGGCAAGAGCCAATCAGCATGATGACGCTATGACTGGTTCAGATACCCTTGATGATGGGAGTTCTCTAGCGCTTGTGATTGATGGCGTCTTGACTCCCAGTCTCCCAAAGGGAAACTGCATGCACAGAGACAAGAGCTAGTGAGGCAAAAGCCTCCAGGGAGAAAAGGTATGAAAGGCCAAGGGTCTGAGGTCACAATCATGGGAAAGAGTAGAAGTCAAAGACAACACTGGCTCCTCTCTGAGGAGCACCATGTGCTAATGAGGCCAGTGATTTCCACACAGCCTATTAGGCCTTCCCACTGAGGCACCGAGAAGCTAGAGGACAAACCAGGGCCCAGCAGGGACTTGCCCTAAAGTACTCTACTACCCTGCCTCCC